TTGCTGATGTGTAGCCCTCTTGGATTACTGATTTCAGGATAGATTTCTTTGAATCCGGAAGGTGATCCATGCGGGGGGTGAGGCTTGAATAAGTGTCAAAGGTATGGTTAGATAGGTGCACCAAGTAATTGGCAATTCTAAAGAGTAGCATTGCTGATGTGTAGACCTTCTTGCCTAGAAGGTTTAGCCTCTTTATGTCCTTGTAGGAGCCCTATTGTTTGAGGTGTGGGGTTCTAGCCCTCTGCTGGGCTGCATTGACGACTAAAGAATTAGGTTGCAGATGTGCAAGGAATTCCATGCCCTTTGGGGGCACAAAATATTTCCTGTCGGCCTGTTTGTTAGTTGGAAGAGCCGATGCCGGAGCATGCCATATTTCATTGGCAATTTCCAGGATGCCCTCATCGAGGGGAATGGCCAGGCGCGACCTGTGATGTGGCTGGAGGTTTCTGAAAAGCTTGTGTTGCTTGTCCTTGAGTTCCTGCAACGATATCTCCTGCATGATGGCTACTCGTTTAAACAACTCCTGAAACTGACGGAGTCATCCGGTGGAGAGCCCTCACCTAGCATGACTGCCTCGTCTGGTGGGGACGAGTCTGGTATAGAGGTCCCCGCTGGCTGGCCCATGAAGGGGGTGTGCTCCAATTCTGATGGGGGATGAGATGGTGATGCTGAATGTTGCGGAGGAGTGAGGGGAGCCTGAATTAGAGAGTGCCTGGGTGAGACATAGTCGTAGGCAGATCGTGATCGGTAGGAATACCTGCTGCGAGTAGCAGTCACCGCGGTGATATGTACCGTGTTGCAGTGAGCATCTGTCATGATAATGAGAACGAGAGTGATATCGATAATGGTGTGGAGAGTAAGGCGAACAAAGCGGATAGCTGATGCCCTGGAAGAAGCAGTAGACGCAGAGAACTCCCTGAAGTGACGTCTCTGGTGAGAGGGTCCAGCAGCCAAGAATGGGGATGGCAGTCTGGAAGAGGCATGGGGAGACCTATGCCAGTCGGCGTAGCGATGTGGAGAGCGTGGCACCAGAGGATAGGGGGACGGTGCTGGGGAGAAGAGAAGGGAGCGAGAGCAGCTCTGGTGCAGAGAGACCAGAGGAGCAGGGCTCAGAGCCCTTGGTCTTGAAGCGTGTGCTAAAGCACTAGCCGGCACTGTGCTGCTCGGTGCCGGCGGTTCAGAGACCGCAGCGATCAGTGCTATGCTGGTGGTAGGTCGGGTTGGCGCCATGCGCTCCAGCACTGCTCGGTGGCTCAAGAGCGGTGCGGGTGCCGGCGCCATAATATTTGGCTCTAAGGGAGCCCTCGCCGATGGTGGCGCTTCCTGGGGTGCCACTGTTTGTGCAGGCTCCCATGGCCGCTTTGACTTGTGCGCCATTGAGGTAGGAGGACGAGGCTTTGTGCTGCCAGATGTCCCCGGTCTCTCCACCTGACTTTCCCTGCCATGTAAGGCAGTCGGCAGGGATCTGGTAGGGGAGAGTCTAGGCTTTTTCTGAACACCCGAAGTGGGGGATGAAGCCTGTCACTTGGGGGGCTATTCGTCACCATCAGTGTATTGTGGCTGCAGGGCTTTATCAAAGAGGAGCATTCAGAGGCACCTCTCCCTGTCCTTTCTAGCCCTGGAAGTGAGTTTGCTGCAGTGGGCACATTTCTGGAGGATGTGAGATTCCCCCAGACAACGGATGCACTCCGAGTGGCCATCGGAGGCCGGCATTGCCTCCTGGCAAAAGCCGCATTTTTTTAAACCGGTAGCTACCGACATGTTACCGGTTGCTCTGAAGCAGTTCTTGTGTGCAGTCAAGAGAGAACATTTAACTCTCTGGTTGCTGTTTGTTCTTATATATGTATTTGTGTTATTATTCTGTTAATTTCTCTGTTTTCTTCTCTCTTTTTTTTTAAGGGACGCAACTATGTACAAGCAGCGGAACGGGAGAACAGCTGAGCAGCAGAAGGTAAGAGCAGTGTTATAAGTCTCTCTTCTTCCTTTTATTTATTTATTTATGTGTTTGTTTGTTTATTTATTTATTTATTTTTAAAGAAATAAGGAGGAGAATAAGAGGGAAATGAAGGGTAGAAATATATACAAGGAGCAACTAGAGGAAGCCTAGTTCATCAAGTGAGGTGAGGAGCGTGGTTCCAAGCATCTGCAGCCTGAGGCGGTCTAGAAGAACTGGCGGGAGGCTGGACCGCGCGCCAGAGAAAAGAGAGTGAAAGCCACGAGCCCCGCGGCACATGCACAGTCCGGCTGAACACTGCTTCTCACAACCTTCCATCTGCAGCTCCGGGGCAAGCCCAGCACCCATAGTGGAGCACCCGTGGGGACATCCTCGAAGAAGAACTTATTAATACCAATTGCTTCAGAAGGTAGAGTAAGAAACCACATAATTGATCATTATAAATTAACTTGCTCACAGAAGACTCTTCTTCCTAGTTTCCCCTCTCCCCATCAATTAGCAATACACTGGTGCCCTGACATGAGGATTTATTTATGTATGTATCTACTGAACCATGGCTATTCTTATTATCCACATAGATGTCTAATACTTTTTTTAATCCTGCCAAGCTGTTGGCCTCAGTGTTACCCAATGACAATGAGTTCCAGAAATTGTTTGTGTATTATGTAAACAGTATTTTCTTTTATCATTAAATGCATTGCTCTTCACACTATCCCCTCCTGGTATTATGCAAAAAGCTAACACAAGTTTGCCCTCCCTTTCTCATTCATTATTTTGGATTCATATACAGGCTCTTTCTTATTCACCTCTTCTCCAAACCAAATAGTCTCAAACTTTCTTCATACAGAATTCTTTCTCTCCATCCAGAGAGAATTTATCCTCTAAATTTAGCCTCTCTTTTTAGCGACTTTTGATCTTGTCCCTTGTGGTGGGTGGCAGAATCCTCTTTATTTGTCCGTATGAATTTACATTTGCATCCAAATTTTATATGACACTTTAAATTCACTTGAGTTTTCAAGCACTAAGCAGCCTGTGACGCAGGTGACACAGTCAGCAAGCCTGCCTAAAGAAGGACATCAGCTGCTGAAACAACCTCTACCCCTCCCCGCCCACCCCCTCCTTGTAAGTGAAGTATCAGAATACAGCATGGAATGTTAAGGGGGTGAGAGAAATGAGGGGAATAAAGGAGACAATGTCTAACTGCTGTTTTTATGGCTCCGTTAGTATTCTGTGTCTGTATTTCCAACCAAATACAAATGGAAAATAAAGGCCTGTGGGTTTTTAACCTCTTGATTTAATAAGCTGGTAAATATTAAAGAGCCTCATTGTTATTTACACAAATGCCCCTCTATACTGCACAATAATAGTTAATAAGATAATACTATGTTAGTAATAATAACAGTGTGTAGGATAATAATGCTTTCCTACCTCACAGGAGTGTTGGAGAATAAAGACTGTGAGGCCTTTTAACACTGTGGTGGTGAAAGTAAGAGGATACTTTGGGCTGTGCTATGCCCAATAGTCAGAGGGTATGAATGCAGCTGGCATACTCATATCCAAGCTAGCTTTAATCTAGCTAGCTCAGACACTCCAACTGTGGCAGCACAAGCTGCCGGGCATGATGTAAAAACCTGCCGGGAGTCTTGCATGTGTACTAAGATGGCTAGACTTCACTGAAGCCCATGCTGCTGTAGCTTCACTGCTCCAGTGTTCAAGCTAGCTAGTAGCCAAGGCACATGGTCTATATGTGAGCCTACATGTGGGTGTGATTAGGGTTGCCAGATGGTTAAAACAAAAATACCGAACAGCTCCCCTCCCCCCCAAAAAAAGAAACACCGGGGGAAAATTCTGTTAAAGGAAAAAAGGGGGGGAGACCAAAGTTGTTGAGCAAAAAAAAGGACTCCAAGACTTATTGAGCAAAAAAAAAATTAAAATAAAACAGCATTAAAACAGCATGTCCCCTTTAAGAGTGCATGCAGGGATAGGAACAGGGGAGATGTTGAGCACTAAGACCCAAGGGAAGCATTGGCCAGCAGCCATTTTGTGCTGACAGCCTTGCAGAATCAGGTAAACATCGGGTCTGGGGTCGGGAGGTTGGGGGAATTGGGGGCTGAGGCGGCTCGGAGTGGGGGGGAGGCCAGGCGCTGAGTGTTTGTAGGGTTGCCAGGTGCCCGGCATTTTCGCCTCCTGGCTGGGGAAAAAATCAGAAAATACCAGACATCTCAGGTGTCCAGTATTCTCTGAATTTTTTTACCGGACAGGAGGCGAAAATACCAGACTGTCCGGGTGAATACCAGACACCTGGCAACCCTAGGTGTGATTGCTGTATAAACATCACCTCTGAAAGACAAAAAGAGCTGCCAAGAGAAGCTCACTGGTTTAAAATACCCATTTCCCTCTACATACCATAAGTCCCATTGCATCAAGACTTCTGGACTTCACCTCCTTCCCTCACAAATGGCCTTTTCATGAACCTGTGGCATTTTACCAGGACACAAGAAGATTACAATCCAGCAGTAAAAGTAACTTACATTTCTTACATGTATTTCTTATTTCAATGTACTTCATATTTCAGTCCTCCCGGGGGAGGGATGGGGTCAGGGCAGGAGGCTGGTGGGGGAGAGGAGGTTGAAATATGACAGTATCTGTAAGAAATTAAGTATGGGGTTGAGTGCAGGGAATTCAGGGCAGGGGTCAGGATGAAGGGATGTGGAATTTAGAGTGAGGGAATAGGTATCAGAGGCAGTGCTGGACCGAGCCATACTTGCGCCCTGGGTAGCGGGCGCATGGCGCATGCGTGGCCCCGCCCCCGGGTGCACGGCCCCTGATTGACATGGTAAGGGGCACCACGCCCCTGGGCAAGTGGCACATGCGCAGCCGCGCCTCCAGCCACACGGCGCATACGAAGCCCCACCCCTGGGCGCCAACCTATGGGGGGTGCCTGATTGGTAAGGGGTGCTGCACCCAGGCGCACGGTGTATGCAGCGCCCCTTACTACTTCGATCAGGTGCCCCCCATAGGTTGGCACCCCGGGCAGCTGCCTGGCTAGCCTCCCCCTTAATCCGGCCCTGATCGGAGGGGATGAAGGGCGACTCTGGGCTGACTCCACATGCCCCAGGTCCGAGGCTGCTGGCACAGCACATCTGGAGTCCTGGTTGCTGATTCTGTACCCAGGGCTTTGCTCCCAGTCCCAGCCTCAGCTCTGGGGGAGGAGAGGGCAGGCATGGGCAAAGGTAAGGGGCTGGCTCAGAGCCCCACCCCCAAGCAGCCACTTTCTTACCAATGGGACACACCGGCTTACTTTCCCGTTTGTTACAATCCATTAACATCAATCTTAAATTTAGAAGATGTGATCACTTCCAAACATAGACATAGCTAGTGTTCAAAACTTCTCTAAAAATGAGTAGTCATATGGCACCTTAGAGACTAACTATATATATATATATACAGGGCTCGCCAAACCGCAGCGAGCCCTGCTTGCCAGCTGCGCTGTCTGGCGATCTGCCACGGGTGAGTAGATTGCATTACATATATCACATGAGTTTTTTCTGAGCAAGACCCACTCCTGAAGAAGTGGGTTTTGTCCACAAAAGTTCATGATTATATATATATATATATATTTGTTAGTCTCTAAGGTCCCACAGGATTACTTGTTGTTTTGAAAGTTAGGGTATGTCTACACTACAGCAATAATTCGAACTAACTTAATTCGAATTAGTTAATTCGAACTAAGCTAATTCGAATTAGTGCATCTACACCTAAAAACTAGTTCGAATTAGCATTTTGCTAATTCGAACTAGCATGTCCACATTGAGTGGACCCTGAACCGAGGTTAAGAATGGCCGGAAGCAGTGCCGGCAGGGCATCAGGTTAAGACTTAGAGCGTGGAGCTGCTGTCTCAGGCTAGCCGAGGACTTAAAGGGACCCGACCCCCACCCCAGACAGACAGTTCTCAGGGGTTCCCCGCTTGCAAAGCAGTCCTGGCTTGGAGTGCCCTAAGTGCCCACACTCGGCACATCACAGCACTTGGCCATCAGCCCGGCTGCACTCGCCGCAGGCTGCCATCCGGGACCGGAGGGGTGTCAATCAGGAGGCTGCAGGAGAGCTTCCACCCCGAGAAGCCCACAGAGCCACCCCAGTCCTCCCCATCGGGGGCTTGTACCCCATTCCTCCCTCACCTCCTTCCATTTACCCCTCGCTAACCCCCCTTCCTGATGTACAAAATAAAGGACACGTGTTCAAAAATAGAAACTCTCTTTATTGAACAAAACTCGGGGAGACTGGGAAAAGGAGGTGGGAGAGGGGAAGACAGAGGGTGGGAGAGGGGAGGGCAACTAAAATGATCAGGGGTTTGGAACAGGTCCCATATGAAGAGAGGCTAAAGAGACTGGGACTTCTCAGCTTAGAAAAGAGGAGACTGAGGGGGGATATGATAGAGGTCTATAAAAGCATGAGTGGTGAGGAGAGGGTGCATAAAGAAAAGTTCTTCGTTAGTTCCCATAATAGAAGGACTAGAGGACACCAAATGAAATGAATGGGTAGCAGGCTTCAAACTAATAACAGAAAGTTCTTCTTCACAAAGCAAATAGTCAACCTATGGAACTCCTTGCCACAGGAGGCTGTGACTAGAACTATAACAGAGTTTAAAGAGAAGTTAGATAAAGTCATGGAGATTGGGTCCATGGAGTGCTATTAGCCAGGGGGTAGAAATGGTGTCCCTGGCCTCTGTTTGTGGAAGGCTAGAGATGGATGGCACGAGACAAATGGCTTGGTCATTGTTTCGGTCCATCCCCT